CAGGCAGCCCGGGTCCCAGGGTGTCCGCGCTCTGACCTCTGCTGCTCCTCCCCTTCCTCCCCGCCAGGGGCAGAAGAAAGAGAAGAAGGACAAGGAGCGAGAAAACGAGAAGGAAAAGAGTGCCCTGGCCCGGGAGCGCAGCCTCAAGAAGCGGCAGTCCTTACCTGCACCTGCTCGCCCGCGCCTTTCCTCGGGACCCGCCTCCGAGCTCAGGTGAGGGCGGGGCCGGCACCTCACCTGGCAGTTCATTCGCTCCTTCCTTCACGAATACTGTAGCTAAACTGGTGCTGGGCTTGGTGGTGCACACCTGTGATCACAGCACTCGGAGGCTGAGGCAGGAGGATACATAGTGATTTCAAGACCAGCCTGAACTACATAGTGAGACCTTATCTCAAAAAACCAAATAAATCAATAAACCAGGTGTGGTGGCGCATGCCTGTAATCCCAGCACTTGGGAGACTGAGGCAGGAGGATCCCTGTGAGTTTGAGGCCATCCAGGGCTACATAATGAGACCTTGTTTTTAAAAAAGGCTGGCACATGCCTGGAACCCCAACATTTTTTTGCTGGGTATAGTGGTGCACACCTGTAGTCCTAGCACTGGGAGGCAGAGGCAGGAGGATCACCTCAAGTTCGAGGCCTCAAACTACATAGTGAGGCCGCACAGTGAGTTCAAAGCTAGTCTGAACTACATGGTGAGAACCTGTCTCAAAAAACAAAAACAAGACAAACCCACATTTTTTCCTTCTGTTCTTTTTTCTGGTCACTCTTTCCTTCCCCACTCCCCCCTCCCTTGTTGCTCTCTCCTTTGAACATTTTCTTCCCATTTTCCAATATCTTTTGTACATTTTTGTCCTTCCACTTTTAATTTCTCACATCTGAGAAATTTAAACGTGTGTTCAGTTTATCTCACTTAAAAGTATGGTCTCAAGGTGCATCCATTTACCTAGAAATGTCTCAAGCTTGTCCTGTTTATGCCAGAGTAGTACTCCAGTGTACAAAAAAAACCCCACATCTTTATCCATTCATCGGTTGATGGGCTTTTGGGCTGTTTCCAATATTTAGCTATTACAAACTGTCCACTATAAACATAGGTGTGCATGTATCACTGTGGAATGATGCTTTTAATTCTTTTTTCTTGGGGGGATTTGAGACAGGGTCTCACTATGCAGTTCAGACTGACCTGGAACTCACTATGTAGCCCACACTGGTCTCTAACTCACAGTGATCCTCCTGCCTCAGTCTCCCAAGTGCTGGGATTACAGGCGTGCACCACCATGCTCAGCTTAGATGCTTTTAATTCTTTTGGGGAGATACCGAGGAGGGGAATAGCTGGGTGGAATGGAACCTCTAGTTTTAGTTTTTTGAGAAATCTCCCTGATTTCCACAGTGGTTGCACCAGTCTGCACTTCTACCAATAGTGAAGAAGGGTTTCTTTTTTCTCACAGCCCTGCCAGTATTTATTATTGGTTGATTTCTTGATAATAGCCATTCTTTCTGGAGTGTGATGGAATCACACAGTTTTAATTTACATCTCCAATGAACAGTAATGTGGAACATTTTTTCATGTATTTGCTGTTTCTATTTCTTTGAGAAGTGTCTATTCATTTCAGATGCCCATTTTTGGCTTGGGTCTTTAAATTTGAGGGGTTTTTTGTCTTGTTTTTGTTTTGTTTTGTTTTTGGTACTGGGGATCAAACTCAGGACCTTGTGCTTGTGAGGCAGGCACAATACCACTGAGCTAAATCCCTGGCCCTAAATTTGAGTTCTTTAGAAATTTTGGTTCTGGATTTTTTTTGAGTTATTTATATATTCTTTTTTTATTTTTTTATTTTTATTTTTTGGTACCAGGGGAGCTAAACCCCTGGCCCTGTTGAATTTATATATTCTAGATAGTAGTCCTAAGTCTGAGGAACAGCTGGCAAAAGTTTTTTCTCCACACTATGGGTTGTCTCTTCATTCTGTCGTTGGTTTCTTTTGCTCTGCAAAAGCTCTTTAATAAGATTATAAGTTCCCAGGTTTTGATTCTTTGTGGTATTTCTTATGCAATCATGAAGTCTTTGCTTACCTATTCTATCTATCAGCAGATTTAGTGTTTCTGATTTTTTTTTTTTTTTTTTTTTGGTACCAGGGATCAAATTTGGGCCCTTATGCTTTCGAGGCAGGCGGTGGAACCACTGAGCCAAATCCCAGGCCCTAGTGTTTCTGTTTTAATATTTAGATACTTGATACATTTTTATTTTAGCTTAGTACATGGTGAAAGATATGGGTCTAGTTTTCATCTTTGACTCTTTCTGTTCTTAGCTCTTAGCTTTGCACAGTGGCAGTATCATAGCCAATGGGGTTTCTGCTCTTACGAAGGGTACAAACTATCCGGGAGATAGACATTCATCTCACAAATTAATATGTAATTGGAAATGGGGGGGGTGGTTTTTGTTTTTGTTTGTTTTGTTTTCTTTTTGGTACAGGGGGTCAAACTTAGGACCTTGTACTTGCCAGGCAGGTGTGGTGCCACTGAGCTAAATCCCCGGCTCTTGTTTTATTTTTTGAGACAGGGTCTCGCTTTGTAGTTCAGACTGGCCCTGAACTCACTATGTAGCCCAGGCTGGCCTCAAACTCATTAGGTAGCTCAGGTTTGTCTTAAATTTGCAATCCTCCTGACGCAGCCTCCTGACTACTGGGATTACAGGCATGAACCACCATACCCAGGACAAACTGGAATTATAGGCACAAAGAGAAAATGTTAAGCCTTTGTGAGGTTAACTGCAGAGTGGGGTTGGGGGGTACTTAGCCCAAGGGAGGAGACACTTCCCCAAGAAAGGAACATGCTCGGGGCAGAGGGTATGTGTATGCTCCAGCACTCTGTGCCCAGCAGATCTAACCCTTCCCTTCCTTCTCAGCCCCAAATCCAAGGCCCGCCCATCCTCTCCCTCCATGTCTTGGCACAGGCCTGCCTCCCCCAGCCCCAGCCCAGGGCCAAGCCACACTCTGCCTCCAAAACCACCATCTCCTCGAGGCACCACTGCATCGCCCAAGGGACGAGTTCGGAGAAGGGAGGGGGCAAAGGAGAGCCCCAGCATCTTGGGGCCTGAGGACAAGAACCAGAGCAAGAGGAGGGCCAGTGAGGAGAAGGAGCCGGCAGCCCCAGCCTCACCGGCACCCTCGCCCACACCCTCACCCGGCCCAGCACAGCCCGCTGCAGAGATCCCCGCAGGTGGGCGTGAAGAGCAAGCCGGCAGGACAGAGAAACCAGGTTTGCCTGGGCAGGGGAGGTGGTCGGGAGTGTAGGGCACGAGGGATGCCTGCGGACTGATGTCCTGCCATAGCAGGTCCAGGCCTCAGAACAGAGCCAGTCCCAGAGAGGGCAGCCCAGAGTGGGTGGTCCCTCCCCACCCTTAGGTCCAGGAAGCACAGCGGCCTGCGGGGTGCCGCGGGCGGTGCAGCAGGCCAGGTGCCCAGGCGGGTGTGGGCTGACTCGTGGTCCTGGATCCTCCTCCAGATATTGCTATCCTGACCTCACCCCCAGCCCCTGCTCCCCTGGTGACCCCTAGCAAACCCATGGCGGGCACCACAGACCGAGAAGAGGCTACTCGGCTCCTGGCTGAGAAGCGGCGCCAGGCCCGGGAGCAACGGGAGCGCGAGGAACAGGAGCGGAGGCTGCAGGCCGAAAGGGACAAGTGAGTGAGCCCTCGGCCACAGATGAGTCCTTACGGGACTGGAGAAGAGGCTCGGACGGGGCTACAGTTTCCCTTGCCCTCCAGGCGACTGCGGGAGGAGCAGCTGGCTCGGGAGGCAGAGGCCCGGGCAGAGCGGGAGGCCGAGGCCCGGAGGCGGGAGGAGGAAGAGGCCCGAGAGAAGACGCAAGCGGAGCAGGAGGAGCAGGAGCGGCTGCAGAAACAGGTGCCTGGCGGGCCCTCCTGTTGGGCACAGGGCTTCTGGCTCAGAGGCGGGCTTGGCCAGTCGCTAACGCTTGCACACATCTCGGGCAGAAAGAGGAGGCTGAAGCTCGATCCCGAGAGGAAGCGGAGCGGCAGCGTCTGGAGCGGGAAAAGCACTTCCAGAAGGAGGAGCAGGAGCGGCAGGAGCGCAAAAAGGTGCGTGGGGGGGCAAGAAGCTGGGGCAGCGTCTGGTTCCTGAATTGGGAAGGAAGGAGTGGTGTGAGCTAGGAGGACACTGAGCCTCCTGGCCCAGCGGCAGTGGGAGGTTGGGACTCATTGATGTGGGGCCTCCATACAGCGCCTGGAGGAGATAATGAAGAGGACTCGGAAGTCAGAAGTTGCTGAAACCAAGGTGAGGATTCTCTGAGTGGGAGTTGGGGGTCAGGGTGAAGAAAGAAGGCTGCAAAGCCGGGCGTTGTGGCACTCGGGAGGCTGAGGCAGGAGGATCGCTGTGAGTTCGAGACCAGCCTGGGCTACAGAGTGAGTTCCAGGGCAGTCTCAGCTACACAGTGAGACCCTGTCTCAAAAAACACGAAAAAGGCTGGGCTGGGGATGTAGCTCAGTGGTGCCACCGCCTGCCTTGCAAGTGCAAGGACCGAGTTCATCCCTGGTACCAAAAAACAACAGCAACCCCTCAAAAAGGGGAGGGAGGCTGCTGCAGAAAGGAATCCAGAGCCAAGGAAGGAGGTGTGGGCTGAGAGGGAGAAGTGCTCAGAACCACAGTCAGGAGGGTTCAGATAGCCCTTAGGCTGACCGCTCTTCCTCTTCAAAGCAGAAGCAGGACAGAAAGGAGGCACAAGCCAACGAGCCCAGCCCAGGTAAAGGCCCTGTCCCCTCACCTCTCTCGCCTCCGCCATCCCTGTCCCCCAGCCTCACGCTCTCACCACCCTGGCTGACGGCCATTCCTTCCCTGTGACAGACCCCGAAAGAGCTGTGGAGACTCTGCCCTCAGTGCTGCAGGAGGAGGAGCCAGCCCCCCAGGAGCCACAGTGGAGGTACCAGCTGGGAGGAGCAGGAGGCAGCCTCAGGCTGGAGCTTTAGGGAGGCCTGGGTTTCACTGGGAGGTGAACCCAGGCTAACTGTGAGCCCCTGAATTTACAGCCTGCCAAGCAAGGAGCTGCCGGGGTCCCTAGTGAATGGCTTGCAGCCTCTCCCAGCACATCAGGAGAACGGCTTCTCTCCCAAGGGACCCTCTGGGGACAAAAGTCTGGGCCGAACCCCAGAGGCACTCCTGCCCTTTGCAGAGGCAGAAGGCTTCCTCAAGAAAGCTGTGGTGCAGCCCCCACAAGTCACAGGTAGGGACCTCTGACTCCTGGACACAGCTTCATCCATCCCAGCAGCCTTCCCTGGACTCCAGCCCTACCCTTGAGTTCCACAACAGGCTTTCTCCTTGCTCCGCCCTGAAGACCCCAGAGATCTGGGCTTGGGGCCAAGCTTCCCCTTGACTGTTTCACTGTTTCCCCTCCCCTTTCCCCCAGAAGTCCTTTAAGGGTAGCCTTGGATCCAGGCATGGCTGTGAGGGCTCTGCACCGCCTACCAGGATGTCCAGAGGAGAAAGAGACAGAACAAAGATGGAAGTGGCCTGGGCCCCTGGGGTGTCCTCTTTGTTACTTTTAATCTGCACCTTATAGACTGATGTCTCTTTGGCTGGAGCCAGACCCTGCCCTCAGTGCATTCGTGTGCTCACACGCAGACACCCTCTCCCCACACACATGCACTCACAGCCTCTCTGGCCCCTCGGAAAGGGTCACCTGTGGTATTTGCCTTGGTTTGGTGGGGTTCAGTGGATGTGAATACTGTAAATAGCTTGTGCTCAGATGCCCGCCTGCAGGGGGTGGGCACAGGAGGCAGAGGCGCCTCCCGAGGCTCCCTGGGGAGATCTTCCTCTCTATTTAACTGTACCTGAGGGGGAACCCGGGTCTGGGAATGGGGGGCACCTTGGGCCACAGGATACCAGTTGCTTCAGGGACACCCATGCCCCCTGCCCTCACCTGGAATCAGTGTTATTGCATCTGATCAAACTTCTCCTGAAATAAAGTGAGAATAATTCTGCCAATCCTGTCTGTCCTCACTGCCAGTAAAGGGTGGGAGCAGGTGGGCTCCTGCGTTCTAAGACAAACATAGGCGCCTAGGGCCTGGGGGTATCTACTCCCACCAGGGTACCAGTCCTGGACCCCTTGCCCTGTGGTCTTCCAGTTTAGTCACTAGTCTGTTCACTGATTCATTCAACAAATACTACTACCTTTACCCTGTACCAGACAGGAGGCTACGCACTGTGGGTGTAGGAGGAGGAGAGGCATAGCCTCTGTCCTTGTGGAGTTTACGGTCTGGCATTGACATCACAGACACTGTGGGCCACCTACCATAATCCACTCCTAACACCCCTCCTGTTTCCAGACAGACTCCTAAGATCTGGTCCTCCTATGTACTCCTTCGGCCGAGATGCTGCCTAGCCCCAGAGCAGAGTCCTGATCATGAGCTGACACCATAGTCCCAGTTCCCTCAGATGCCATCAGCGTAAGCGTGACCAGACCTAGATCTAGCCAAGAGACACAAAGAGAAGCCTCCTGGGTCATCCCCCACCCCAGTACTAGGGGTTGAACTGAGGGCCTTTGAACCAAGAATCATCTCTAGGCTTTTTGTTTCTGTTTCTCCTTTCCTTTTCATTTTTTTTTTTTTTTTGCAGATTTAATCTAGGTCCTTGACACTAAACCACATCCCAGCCCTTTTTTTTTGTTTGTTTTGTTTTTGTTTTCTTTTTGGTACCGGGGACTGAATTTGGATCCTTGCGCTTTCGAGGTAGGCAGCGGAACCACTGAGCTAAATCCCCGACCCTCAGCCCTGTTCATTTTGAGACAGTGTCTCACTAAGTCACTAAGTTGCCCAGACTGGGCTCAGACCTAGGGTTTTCTTGCCTCAACCTTCCAGAGTCCTGGGATCACAGGCACATGCCACCACACCCTTGTGTGGTCCCTTCCCATGTGTGACCAATAGAATACAGCAGAAGTGAGGACCTGTCATGCTGAGATTCGATTATAAAAGGCACTGCACCCTCTGTCCTGACGCACTCTTGCTCTTGAGTTGCTCACCCTGGAGGAAGGCAGCTGCTGTGTCAGCGAGTGGCCCACATAAGCAAGAAGCTGAAGTGTCCTGCCAGGGGCCATGTGAGTGAATCTGGAAGCAGATTCTCTAGCCCAGTTTAGCCTTCAGATGACTTCAGTCCTCCTCAGCAGTTTGACCCCTCCTAAAAGACCCAGAGCTGGAGCCAACCCCTGAGCCACCTCTGGGGTTCTAACCTTGGCAACTGTGCCCCTGCCTTCAGTACTAGGGATTGAACTCATGCGTGGCAGCAAACTGTTTACCACTGAGCTACACCTCCATTCCTTTCCACAATTTTATTTTGAGATATAGTCTTGCTAAGTTACCTAGGCTGGTCTCAAACTTGGAATGGTCCTGCCTCGACCTCCCGAGTAGCTTTGATTACAGATTTGCACCACTACACCCAGATAATAAATGCTTTAAACTGCTACATTTTATTCCAGTTTGTCACACTGTAGTAGTTAGTACACATAACGAGGAGAAAGCCCTGCCTGTATGATACGAGGTCCCACTGTGATGTATCCATCCTGGTAAGCGAGCAGCAGAGCGGTCCTTAAAAACATCACTGAATTAGCTGGGCGTGGTGGCGCATGCCTGTAATCCCAGCACTCAGGAGGCCGAGGCAGGAGGATCACTGTGAGTTCGAGACCAGCCTGGGCTACACAGTGAGTTCCAGGTCACTCTCAACTACACAGAGAGACCCTGTCTCAAAAAACAAACATACAAAAATCACTGAATTGACCAACCCTAAAACAGGCCTCTCTCTAGACTACAGCCCTATTGTTTAAACCGAAGTGAGACAGACTGTTACGTAAGGCCTACAGTATCTTAACTCAAATAGGTACACAAGTAATACGCAAATATATGTATTTATTTTCTTTGTGAGATACAAAGGAGGACATGAACCAGGTAAAAGGATGAGAAATATGTAAGGAAGTTGTCCTGTAAAGAAGCAATATTTATATTTGACCTGAGCCAGGTGTGGTGGTATACACACTTGTAATCTGAGCACTGTGGGAGGCTGAGGCAGGAGAATCCCAAATTCAAACTCAAGGGGCTGGGGATTTAACTCAGTGGTTCCGCTGCCTGCCTTGCAACCGCAAGGACCCAAGTTCGATCCCTGGTACCAAAAAAAAAAAAAAAAAAAAGTCAAATCAACCCAAGTTCAAACTCAAGCTAGGCAATTTAGTGAGACCCTGTTTCAAAATATTTTTAAAAATATACTGGGTGTGGTGGCACATGCTCTTACTTCAAGCACTCAGGACACCGAGGCAGGAGGATCACCAGGAGTTTGAGACCAGCCTGAGCTACACAGTGAGGACTTGTCTCAAAAAATCAACCAACCATACAAATAAACAAGAACAAAAGGGCTGGGAGTAAAGCTCACTGCAAAGGCCCTGAGTTCAATCCCCAGTACTGCAAACACACACACACACATTCTGGGGAGGGTGAGCCAGCCCTGTGCAAAGAAGCAGGGGAGAAATCCCAGGTAGGGGCTGTCCTGTGCAGGCCCAAGGGAAGGAGCAGGAGCGGGGTTGCTGGGGGGTTGAGAGCTACTGGAAGAGTAGACGGAGCTGGAGAGGTGCGCAGGGGCCAAGTCGAAGGCAAGGCAGGGTGAGGAGGGTGGGAAAGGGCAGCCCACGGCCTCCCCTTGGTGAGAGCTCTTTGCACACCCCACTTAACGCCCAGTTCAGCTACCAGCTCAGAGGTAACATCTCCCTAAAGGGCAGTGCCCTCTGCGCACTCTCGGGAGTCTTACTCATTTATTCAATCAGTAATTGCCTGTGGAGCACCAGAGGGACGTGACGATAAGCAGAAACCAGACCCAAAACTCCTGGGCTTCCTGGTCGGGGAAATGGGTATTAATCAGAGAACCGCACAAGCAAATGTGAAAATGCAACCTGTGGTGAGTACTACCAAGGCAAAATGGAGCAATAAGTATTTAAGAGAAAATAGCAGGGGGTCTGGCTCCTGCTCTAAGATCTCCCTGAATGCACGGTGTTTGGGCTGGACAAGGTCAGGAAGGTAGCGAAGAGGGGCGGGAGAAGCACTTTCTGGACAAGCTGCGAGCACTCAGAGCGCTGTGAGTGGGTAGGAAGGAGTGGCTAATGGGGTACTAGAGTAGGAAGGGTGACAGACAGGACCGGCGATTTTACTAGGCCGCTTTGGCTTCTGAATGGGACTCACTAGCAGGACTTCGACTGTGAACTGGCAGAGAGCCAATCCAGCACTTGGGAGGCTGAGCCAGGAGGATCGCAGCCAGTTTCAGGCCAGTACATAATGAGACTTTTGTCTCAAACCACAAGAAAAACAAAGCAAAACCAAACAACCCTGGGGGACAAGAAGTGATTCCTGATGTCAGGATAAGAGATGATAGAGCCTTGGGAAATAGAAATAAGTGTATAGAAAACTATTTTTTAAAAAATTAAGCCATTCAAGAAACATTTATTACTATGTGCCAAGCACTGAAGGGATAGAGGGCTTTTTTTCTGCCACATGGTGCTAGGGCTTGAATCCAGGAGTGCTATGTCTCTAAGATACATCCCTAGTCCTTTTTATATTTTGTTTCGAGACAAGGTCTCACTAATTTCCCCAGGCTGACCTTGAACTTGCCACTGTCCTGCTTCATTCTTCTAATTAGCTGAAATTACAGGCATGTACTACTGTGCCAGGCTGGAGATTTTTAAGTGATCAAAACTGATGTGGTCTAGGGCCAGGGATTTAGCTCAGTGGTTCCGTTGCCTGCCTTGCAAGCGAAAGGTTTGGAGTTCAATCCTCAGTACCAAAAAGTGGTCTTTGTTCACATGGAGCTTTGTCAATAGCTGCTTAAATAATATTACAAATGCATAACTATGACAATCTGTGAATAGCAAAGAAGTATGTGATGAAAGGAAAGAATAAGGGACCTAACTTAGCAGGGAAATCAACCAGAATGTCTGGGAGAAAGCAATGCTAGAGAAGAGTGGGCTTCCAGGCAGAGAAAACAGCATATGCAAAGGCCCTGTGGGGAGCACAGCCAGTATAGCTGGAACTCAGAGTGAGAGGGTGCAGGGTGCCAGAGAGGTAGGAAGGACCAGACCACGCAGGACCTATGGGCCATCTAAGAGTCTGGGGGGGTAGTAGATATCGAATGCATAACCTTCACACTAAAATACATCCCCAGCCCCCTCCCCATTTTAAAAAACTTTTTGAGACAGGGTCTCAGAGTCACTAAGTTGCCCAGGCTGACTAGAACTTGCACTTCTCCTGCCTCAGCCTCCCAGAGTGTTGGGAAGCCATTTGGTCTTTATTGCAAGAATGAGAAGCCACTGAAAGTCTTCAGCAGGTGGAGGGCATGGTTTAACAATTGGAAAAGATAATCAGGTCTGTCTCCTGGCCAGGTATTGGGAACAAAAGAGAAGTGTGTCAGGGGAGAGCCAGGCAGTTAGCACCCATCCTGGTGAGAGGCCGTGTGTGGTGGAAGCCAGGAGGTGGGTAGAGAAGGTGAAAATGGATTGGACATGGGAAATGAAGGCGAGTCGGGCGCGGTGCCGTGTGCTACACATACTGGTACTCACCGAGGGGCCTTCGGAAGAGAGCCAGTTAGGGGCAGGCCGTGGTCGGTCGGTCGGACCAGGCACAGTTTCTGGCCAGGGGACGGGGCTGCGGTGTCGTGCGCGGAGGGCGCCGCCTTCAGGAGCCCAGCCCCAGCTGCCCAGCGGGCTCTCCCGGGAAGTCCTGGGGCAAGGCCGCTTTGGGAGCAGGCCCAAGCCGACTTCCCGGTTCCCTAGCCCGAGACAGGAATGTCCGGTCTGACCCAGGCTCCGAAGTAGTCTGGAGACTGGAGGTGGAGGCGGAGGCGGAGGTCCGCCCTTCCCCAGCCCGGTCCTTTCCCCAACAGGGCAGGCCCTGCAGCGCCGGGAGGAGGCAACACGATGCCCTTGGCTCCTCCTCCCTCCGTCCCCCACAGCTTCAGGACGGCTCTTTACCCGCTGCCCGCTTTCGGTCCCAGGACTGTCTAGCGAGCTGGTTTGCGTCCTTCCACTGAATAGTCTAAGAAGGTTCGCAACAATCCTTAAAGCCGCGCACCTCCCCTTGAGCGCGCATCTGGCTCCCCCTGGTGGTCAGTGAGCACGTTGCCAAGAAAGGAGCTGCAGAGTCCCCTGTGAAACCAGACGCAGGGTGGTGGCTCGGGCCCCTGCAGCGGAGGTCAGGAAATGTGTGCTGTCATCAGATTGGCCAATGACTCACCCTTGACCTCTGGGAACTTCCATTTCCGCTCCTGCAAATCAGGGCTCGTGATAGGGGTGAGGCTTTTCTTGAACTAACAGAATAAAATCTTGTTTGTTGCAAGTCTCCTCTCCACCTTGAGGGGCCCTGACTTCCGCTGAACAACACCTCCTGTGTAACACCAGCCACTTCCTCTCCTGCTCCACTTGGGAATAGCCGCGCTAGACAAGTTCTGATGTGGCCGAACATTGAGCACTAACTGAACAGGACCAGGTCCTTGCCTTCAGAGTACCCTTCCAAGTAGAAGGAGACATAGAATGTGAGAGGTCAGTGGCAGGACTAGGCACAACGTGCTCTTCGAATGTAAGGAGAAATAAATTAATTTATTTAATACAGGATCTTCACATTGAGCTACATCCAGCCCCTTCACTCCCCTTTTTTGAGATAGGTCTGGCTATGTAGTTCAGGTTGGCCTTGAACGCATATAATGTAGCCAGACTGGCCTTGATCCTCCTGCCTCAGCCTCCTGGATATCAGGATTATAAGCATGTGTCACGATGCCTGGCCAGCCCTTTTTATTATTTTTACTTTAAGTCTTTGGGGGTGGGTACTGCAGATCGAACTCAGGTCCTTGCGCTTGCAAGGCAGGCAGCGGAACCACTGAGCTAAATCCCTGGCCCTATTATTTTTACTTTGAGACAAAGTCTTGCTAATTGTGCAGGCTGGGTTTAAACTTTCAATTCCCCTCCCTCAACTTCCCAGGGTGCTGGAATTACAGTATGTACCAATATGCCTGGCTTTTTCTTGAGTTTTTTTTTTTGTCCCCCCTTCAGTACTGGGGATTGAACTCAGGACCTTGTGTTTATGAGGCAGGCTTGGTGCCACTGAGCTGAGCTAAATCCCCGGTCCTTTTCTCAAGTTTTAATAAAATATATGTAAACTTTAGCCAGGCATGATGGCACAAACCTGTAATCCCAGCACTATCTAAGGCTGAGGCAGGAGGATTACAAGATCCAAAAGAGCCTGAACAACTCAGTGACTTAGTAAGACCTCATCTCAAAATAAAAGATAAAAAGGACTGGGGGTACAGCTCAGTATAAAGGCCCTGTGTTCAATCCTTGTAGCACCATAATAAACAAACAAATATATAAATATAATCTGCAAGTTAGCCCAGATGTATTACCTACCTTTCAACAAACATTATGATTCTGTTCTATGTGGCCGTTAATTAGAAGAAATTCTACTTATATGATTGGCACCTCTCAATCTCTTTCTCTTTCTCCTTTCTCTATTTTGGGAATTGAATCCAGGGCCTCGTGCCTGCTCTACCCCTGGATTAAATCCCCACTCCTCTTTTATTTTGTGTAAGGGTCTCACCCTGTTGTGTAGGCTGACCTCAAACTTGGGATCCTCCTGCTTCAGCCTCCCAAGTAGCTGGAATTATAGGCATGTGCCACCCCATCTTGCTAATTGATCTGATACTCATAGTCTCAGCTACAAAACCTTTTTTTTGTTTGTTTGTTTTTTTGTTTTTTTGAGACAGTGTCTCACTATGTAGTTGAGTCTGACCTGGAGCACTATGTAGCCCAGGCTGGTCTTGAACTCACAGAGATCCTCTTGCCTCAGCCTCCCTAGTTCTGGGATTACAGGTATGAACCACCACTGCCCAGCTCACAACCTTATTTTTTTGTTGTTGTTTTGTACCGGGGATCGAACTCAGGACCTTGTGCTTGCAAGACAGGCGCTGGAACCACTGAGCTAAATCCCTGGCCCTACACAAGTTTATTTTGAAAGTAATTTCTTTTTTTTTCTTTTGGTACCGGGGATTGAACTCGGGTACTTGTGCTTGCAAGGCAGGCCACCGAACCACTGAGCTAAATCCCTGGCCCTTGAAAGTAATTTCTTAATAGTTTGGAATCATTCAAGGTTGCTGAGCTCAGTTGGTGCCTCCAACTCCATGACACAACATATTCCTGAGATTCAACAGTCATTTCAGAATAAATAATGATAACACAGTATTGTAGAGGCGAAGGAGGAAACTTTAAAGTATTTCAGTCACAAAGTTGTAGTGGCTGGGCATGGTGGCACACACCTGTAATCCCAGCACTTGGGAAGCTGAGGCAGGAGAATAGCCACAGGTTTGAGGCCTGCCTAGGTTACATAGTGAGTTTAAGACCAGCCTGACTTACCCAGCAAGGCCCTGTCTCCAAAAAGAAAAAAGAAAAGAGAAGAAAAGAAACCAAAAATTGTATTGTGATAGTATTTGCTTAGCAGGCACTTCCCTGATTTAAAGCACCATTCTGCTTTTGTCTCTATATATTTGACTACTAGGGC